CCCTCTCTCTCTCTCTCTCTCTCTCTCTCTCTCTCTCAGAAACATGACTCTCCAATAATTCTCAACTTTTGACTCTTAATTTTAAATTGACATTTCCATTTCTGTTATTTTCAATTAAATCGGTAATTCAAATCCAAGATCAATTAATATTTTACTAATATTATTTTAACTAATATTATTTTAATGGCTTTATAGAAAGATCATGATGCTTTAACATTAAAGATTTAGTTGCCAAGGAACGATGCATAATGTAGTTCGTTCAGAAATACTAATTAATCTTTTAAACTTATAAACTAGGCAGAATAAAGGAAATCTTGCTATCTTAATTGTGCTTCTATTAGAATTCATATTAAAATTATTATCATCGCAGGTATCAACGTCTCTGACGTTGTAAAATCCTGATGACAAAACAATATAAATATATAATACGTAAGAGATTATTATTCAGTACAATTATATGTTCGTACACACACATAATATTGATTTTTTTAATCTGCAATGTAATTGCAGCGAAAATTTAATTCGTAGCTTTGCAATATACCGTGAGAAGTGGATCAATGCGTGGCGAGCTTATGATCAATATTTGTATTTGCTGCGTAATATTGACATTTATCTGTTAAGTTTATCATTAGGTAATTAGGTTCGTGTAGTAATTAGGGAATGTCAGGCAAGCAAGTTGCAAGTTGTTTTGATCGATGCTGTGACGCTAAGATGTGAGATTATTGTGCTTGCAATGACAAATAAATACGGTTGCAGACATGAGACTTGATAGTATGAAACTAATTTGATTAAAATTAAATATGCATAAACGAGTATATTTGTATCATATAATATTGTATAAAATATAATTTTAAAATATAATTTTTTATTTATACAAATAATTATACAATTTTTTATATATACAAATAAATTATTTAAAATTTGTCTACTTTTGAAAAATGTTTTGTTACTATAATTTTATTTTTATCGTATGCTGCTTATGATAATAGTAATAATTTATCTTAAATGGGCAATGTATCATTACTGACTTGTTATACTAATTATCGTTATCTCTCTTTATCTTTTAAACAGAACATAAAGGTATGTCATATTAATGATATAGTTATATATAGACATTTCATCTTAATTTAAAATTACGCACGCGTACAAAAAATATATTCAATAAAAACAGAAACTTGAAAGAGACAAATATAAATAATTTAATAAAACACGAAGACAAGACAATAATCAACAAATGTGTCGTAAAGTCTCTCGCAAGTCTCGCTAGAATTATCATATACTATGCAATAATGCACATATTTTACATCGCTCGCATTTCATATTTTTAATAATAGTAATTAACAGTCCTATTACATACAGCACTAATTAGGTACTAATTTGAAACAATGTTCAAGGAGGGTAAAACGACAATCGGAGGAATATTCTCTTTCGCTGCGGAAGATCGTTTGGTCCAAAGCTCTTTTTTACGTTAAAGCCGCGGCGTAATTAGCATCAGAAAAATTTCGCGGAGTCGCGTGCCCGCGAATGAATACACGATTAAAACCACCGCCGCTACTTTCTCCGCAAACAGAATTGGTTTTGTTGAAATTACTCTCGAGTAATCTCCGTAATAATACCAGGGTACGTTAAGTCCAACCCTTTTGTGATCTATGATAAGTTACTCTCTCACTAATAGAGTTTTTCTTAAGCTAATCAAGCTGTCCTTTTTAATAATACAATCGTATACGTTTCTTCTATAAATCTACCGCGAAGAGATCAATTCTCCTTGAAAACTAGCGACAGCGCTAGAGCTTTTCGAGTAACTTAAATGGCTCCTCAAAAATAATCAGTAAAAACACAACAGACAATTTTGAGATTCCCTTAAATACAGGAGATGATTGCGGAGGACGAATCAGCGATTTGTGACGATTCCTTGAAAAGCGAGGTGAAAAGTAATCCGTCCGAATCACGATAGGGCGGGAAATTGCGATACGTTCGAGGAAGCATGTTGAAGAAACTTGTGTTGATTGTGTCTATAACGATTCGCCGTAGAAATAGACAGTACAATCTGCAGCGGAGCTTTTCTCCGTAAAACGAAAAGGCAAACGGGAATAGAGCCTTCTTCGCATTGATCCATACAACGTTCATGGAAAAATATTCGTCGAGGCCTCGATCCCTCCAGAAGAAGATCCCGTCGTAAGAAGAATTGGTTCCTGTACGGCGTTAAAATTTACACGCACGTCTCGTGGAAAACGCATACATTTATACTACGTACGTGCGGTATAAAAAATGTACGGGTAAAATTGAAAGGAGGAATGTGATACGTGATTCAAAAAGATAGTATCCAAACGCTCGATTTCTTCTCTCCGGGTGCCACGGCGCGTGCCAGCGGTTTCACTTAAGTATTTTCATCAGCGGTTGAAACGAGAGCTCTTTAAGGTGCTCTTGGGCACTCTTCACGGCGAGGACGAACGCTCTTGCGGTAGGAGAGGCGAGAACAAAAGCGCACAAATGCGGAAGCGTCGATAATTAACAATTCCGGTAAACGGACCAACCCTCGTACGGTCCTTCCCTGGTTTTTCTTTTTTTTTCCGGCCAGTAAAAAAGCGACTCGTACGTTTGCTTCCGTGCAAAAGTGCAGCACGCTGCATATGCGTGCGATATTCATGTAGTAATGCGAAATGATGTGTCAATGACACGTAAATCGTATGTTTGTAAGTCCTATTGAATCGGACTAAAACAGACGACTTTAGGATCCCCCTAAAGGTTAATTTAATCTTCATCGTTGCCAATTCAATCTCGTTCTGGCAATTTATGCGAGCAAACTGCAAAAGCCACCCCGTGGGAAAAACGAAACAAGCTGATATTTATTATGCCGGGCTTTTGAAAGAATCACCGCGCTCGCGCGAGTCTCGAAATCAGGTTGGGGAATGAGACGGAAGAAACCTAAATCTTGCGGAGCAAAGAGGGCACAGCAAAAGTGTCGATAATTAACAAGAGGGGAAACGTGCGTTATGCGCCCTGAAGAATCGGGGTAGCAACGGTGTGTCATTAATTTTGACGTATGACTTCTCGTCGTTCGTCGTCCGCTTCGGTACCCGCTGAAGCATTTACTATCATTTTAACGACCCTATCAGGCGACGTGGACCGGCTTAACGCCGACTGCTTGGTGCTAACGTAAAATAGCACCCTTTTAGGACCATCCAGGCGAGTTTCACTCTTTTAGCCTTTTTTAGCGCGATTTTTAATGAATCGAAACTTGTTACTCGACTTGTTTTTTCTTACTTTCCTTTTCACGTAAACGTAAATAAGTGTTACGTTAACGTGAGATCATCTGAATGCCCAAATAAAAATAGATATTTGTTTTTTATTTTTAATAAAAAAATATATTCAGTTTCACGATTTTTATGTCGGCTTACGCGTTATTGACGACGAAAGAAATTCTCTCTTTCGGAAAGTCCGACAGTAAATAGCAGAGTGGGTGTTCCGCCCAGTCGTACCTTGAATGCCTCCTTGAAAAGCCTCTCGAGTAGAGAGGAAGGACAAAGAGAGCGCTATAAAATATACTCCGGAAGCAATTTAATTGTTTTTGCATATAGATTGAATCGGGCCGGCCAAAAAGAAGTTTTATTTGCATGCATTTTCGATACCGATCAACCAATTCATCATCGTACATCGCATCATTTGCATTTCTTTCTGGATATCAATAAAATAAATTAAAAGAAATTTTTAGATGAGAAATTAAATTACCTCGTAATATTTTTCAAATAATTGCTTATTTACGATTTCTACAATATTACGATGCAATAAAATATTAATTGCAATATAAGCTGAGAAATAATAAATACGTACACAAGTTACTCTGCTACTTCATTTGTAATCGTAATTAGTTAATGAAATGACGAGGGAAGAATGTGCATGACTGGCTTCAACGAATGAATGCGCCATAGATTGAACATATGACTGAGACAACGAGTGAATGGTTGAGTGTACAAACAAACGGATGAATGAATAAGCAACGGTGGATATAAGCGGGCAGAGTGCTTATTACGCTTTTGCGATATTTCGCAAAGTATTATTAAATATTTTTATACAAACTCGTATTTATTCTAGAAACGTGACTCGGCTCGTGACGAGCTTACGTAAACGTAAATAAATTGAATTTCCACACACAAATATTTGTATTTTACAAAATTAGATAAAAATTTAAAGCAGTAAAAATTGATCAAACATCTCGTTATGTGGCAAATAAATGATTAAGACAGTGTTATATTTATGATTTGAATTCAAATAAATCATATATTTTAATAAAAACTAAAAACCAAAAAGTTATCAATTACCTCGTCATACAGTAAATAAAGGATTAGGGATATATCAGGTATACAATCTCTATAAAAAATGACTGGCATTGGAAATTTAAAAATACTATTTTATAATTTAATTTAAATTTTTTTTTCATTTTATCTTATTTTTTAAAAATATGTCTTATTGAAATAATTTTTTTTTATCCAGGTTCTAAATTGTCATTACTAAACTTTCCTTTTCAAATACAATATAAAAAAATATGTAATTTATTCATAATTTTTTCATTGTTAAAAATACTGTAATATATCTAAAGAA